TGATATTGCTGCGGACCTGCCGCGCTTTTTTTGGCCTCGAGGATCATCCCCAAAAGCCTGCTGAATCTTGCGAATGGTTTACACTCGGGTATCGCCAAGGTTTTTGGCAAAATTTGATGTAATATCGCTGCTCACGTTGTTCAGTCATTTTCCAGCTTAGTGGAATCCGACAAGAGCTCACTACATGACCTCACTCATAGGCCGATTGCCAACGACTGACGCTTCCTGCAGGCGGGAAAAAATTCAGGGCTGTGCATGACTGTCCCCTCCACAACTCCACCGAAGGTGGCCTCTCGTGCATCATTGGTTTACGCGGAAAAAAAAAGGTCTGATACTTTTTGAACAGACCTTGTAGATCTCCAAGTTTAATAAAGTTATTGATTACAGTGGATGACCCATTTAATTCTTTAGCAATTGCTCTTTTAGAATAATTATTGCCTCTAAGAGCAAGAATTTCACCTTTCTCTAAGTCTGTTAGGGGGTTTGTCTTGGCCCATTGTTAAATTAGTGATTTAACCAACTACAGTCATTTTTAGTAGTTTCATCTGGGTTAATGTTGACCTGTTATATCTTAATATGAACCATCCTTTATATTTTTGAGACTGTCCCTTTACTAATATAAAAGCAGTCGTGTGTGTGTGTGTTTCTTATAACTCTTATAAATTTTGGTCAATCCAGATGAAATTTTGGTTATATTTGTTTTATGTTCTGATGGGAAATATAGGCTACTTGTTTTGTGGAAATATTAGTTATAGAATAAACATTTTATCAATTTCGGATTGGTGATCTTACTTACATTGCAGTGACCATATGATGTTCATGCTTGGCCAAGGAATTTCTCTTAAGTTGCATTTTTAAATATTTTTGCAAATGATATATTTTAAACTTGCTTTATTAAATTTAAACTTTAAAAATGAAATCCACATCATGTCAGTTCTATAACAAATTTTTAAAAAATAGTTTCATAGTGACCATGATTCTATTATCCATTTAGAAGTAACCATCTAACGAACCCATTATTTAGAAAGTATTATCACTCATCTAATTAACGTATGTACAATTCAATCTTTGTTTTATCAACATGAAATTAAAAAGACTTGCTATTTTGTCAAAAAGAAATGCCTAGGGGAAACCATAAGAGTAAAATTGGTCAGGTAACATCTAGATCTAAAAGGATAGGAACAACCGAGATCCCTGAAGGCCATGAAGTCCGACTTGAGCAACATCAAGTAAGAATGGCTTTGTCAAGGGCTGCAGATATAGCATTACAATGTCAAACTCAACTTGAAGCTTTTCTCAATTTTTCAGTGTCTACGGAATATTTTTTTTATGAGAAAGGGTTGTAATGGGACCTTGACGTACGAAACAGTCAACGGGTTGACTTTTCCAGGAGCACTTCTTGGCGGATGGAGAACTGTCTTCCCTTGATTCAGGGGTTTTATACAAATTTCTCATTCTTGATTGGTCTTGTGTCCCTTTTTCCCTCACCCTGATTGGTCATTCTTCTGTCTCCAAGCAAGACCGAAGCCACTTCTGGTCGGGTAAGGCTTGGGAGGTGCTGACGGGGTCTTGACACCTGCACTCATAATTTATAATTTACATCATTACAGTCTTTCTCGAACACTTGTCTTGACCGATTTGCCAGATGTTTTGCGTCCATTTACCCTCCCAAATAGGGCTCACATGACCTAACAGGTATCCTTTTGGTCATTAGTCCTCCTGTTTATTTCTTGATTGTTTACACTTCGACTTTTGTATACAAGCACCGTGACAAAGCCCCTCTCACTCAGTAGACATTCCCTCTGTCATTTATCACAGTGTTGCATTTAGTTTTAGAATAAGTGTTTTCCTATCTGTTGAGTCTACTGCACCGACACATGTTCTTGATCCGATTTAACCTCCAAAGTTTCCCAACTTAAAAATTTTATAATGAATCAAAGTTTCCACTCAAGTTTAGGAACCTCACAATTATGAAAAATTATTACTACCTAAATACTTTAGTAGACTTAAAATTTCACATATATAAACTAATTTCTATATACAGTCTAGTCTGCATAAGTTGTCATAGGTATAATTAATCACTGTCGGTTAAGTAGTCAGTTTTCTGTGGTCCTGCCAACTTACATAGGCAATAATGTTAAAAAAAACTCTGGTTTACTTGACACCATTTAACTCTTCACCACTGGATAAATCAACATACTTTTTCTGTCCCAAACTCGTTTAGACGTCTGATAAGTCGACTCCCCTCCTGAAAAAATGAGTTCACACCACACAGTTTAACATTGCAGCAAAATCTGATTTTGCATTTTCTCACCTTTCATTCATGCGTTATTTGCAACAAGTGTTTCACATTTCTGTTAGAAATGAGTATCAGGAACCTAAGAATGCTTACGCTGAAGGAAAAATAAAAACTTGTATCTGAATTTGAATATAATAAAAGTTCACAAGCCAAATTTGCAAAACAAGAAAACTTTCCAAGAACAACATTGGTGGGAATTCTGAAGAAAAAAGGAAATTAAGAAACTTTTTCTTCAAATTTGCCCCTGAATCAAGGGAAGAAGACAGACTTCTCCATCTGCCAAGAACTGCTCCTGGAAAAGTCAACTCGTTGCCTGTTTTGTATGCCAAGGTCCTAAGGTTTTCGTCGCAGCTGTCTCAAACACCAGAGAAAGTCACAAAGATGTCAAAGAAGCTCTGGTATGTTGGCTAAAGCAAATCCGTTCATTAAATCTTCATGTTTCAGAGACGATACTGAAACAAAATCACTGAAATACCTGGAGTAGAAACCAACTTTAGTGCCAGTGATGAATGGTCAGAGAGATAATTGCATATACTGTATAAAACACTACTGTATCTTCCTAATTGTGGTGTTTTTGAACTTTGTTTGAGTCGTTAAATCGGATAGCTCAACACATTTCCACTTCCACTTCCCCCCTTGGGGTATTGACTTATGTGGATTTGACTGTATTTAGAATTATTTTTTGTTGGAAATGGTTTGCTTAAACAGATGTTTTTTGAATGAGTAGGATGATAAAAAAATAAATATCATTTTAATATACTGTATATCAATTTATTTTTTATATTTAATTTTATATTTTTATATATATATACCAATTTATTTTTGTATATTACTGTTATGAAAACAGAATTTATTTTATCACTTGAAATTGTGTCAATTCATATAAATTTAATATTTTTTGACTTTGTATTTGTTTATAATTGAATATTATAATTTATAATTAATAATTTTCATTTATTATAATATTTAACAGTATGCAATTTATAGATAAAGCATAATGTAAGTTTTTGTGTGTGTGTGTTTTTTTTTCTATTAGCTAAAATTCCGTCCTAAACCACATTATATGCATAAGCAGCCAGATATCACTTTTGGTATGCGTAGTATACTTATTGACTGGTTAATTGAAGTTGCAGAAGAATATAAACTTCATCCAGAAACATTATTTTTATCTGTGTCATATATTGATCGTTTTTTGTCTTCTATGTCTGTTCTCAGAAGTAAATTACAACTTGTTGGTACAGCAAGCATGTTTATTGCATCGTAAGTAAAATTATATACATTTTTCATATCTATAAATGTAATTTATATTATTTATTTGTTGCAATATCCAAATATTTTGAAGTTCTGATCATTTAGAAATTTATAATATAACACAAAAAAGGATAAAATGAAATAATTATATATTTTTGTAAATAATAGTGAAGAAACAGATTTAGAAAACTTGATTTTGTAGTAATAATATACCATAGACAAAACAATTTATTTTTATTTCAAGTTTGGAAGTTTTATCATTGAGGAAAAAACATTTTTCTCCACACTGAGATTTATAGCCATGCATATCACTACTAAATATATATGTAAATGTTACTATATACCAGATATGGCCAACAAGTTTAATTAATGTGATCAACTGGCTGATTGTAGCTTGATATGGCTTGTTAAAATGCAAAAAACATTTGTGATTTTCAAAAAAGTATAAGAATATTAATTTCATATTGTCAATATCTACAATAAAGAGAACTGAATAAAATTTCTAATGGAGTCATCCAATCTTCTAGATGTTTGAATGAATTGTGCATGTTCTGTGTGCTTACTACTATGTTGAAAGTCTGCCATTTCTAGCTCACTCAGTTCACCAATGTTGCCAGATCAGCGAATGAGCTAATAAAGGTTCAGAGAACCAAATACTCAGCATTACCACCCATCTTAAAGGTGTAGTCTTCAAAGATATGTGACTAAGAGATGAAAAGAAGCACATAGATGATTAGATGTAAATAGGGGGAAAGGTGATCATGTGACATGAGTGTCATGCATATTGATATGGTTCTAAGGAAGGTGCCTTGTTTGAAGGACAGCTTACTTTAAAATAATAGAAGAATGAAAATATTATTTAGGAAGGTTAACAACAATACAATTAAAGGATGACTTAAAAAAATACAATGTGAAGTAAGCTGGTAGGAAAGCCAATTTAATAGAAAGGTAAGTTAAAATAATTTACATCTACATTTTTATCATTAATTATTACATTTAAACATTTATAATTTCACATTCTTATGACTGACTACAGCAATACCCCGACTTACGCGAACCCGGAGTTACGCGATTTTCAAATCTCGTCAATTCGTCTTTTGTTTGAGCGCTATGCAACCCTTGATTACTCACTCCCCCTCACTATTGTTTGGCTTACATGTTCAGATGTGTTGTGCGGAATCCACACATAGCTATAATTTATTTTGTGTTATTTATTTCTGTGTTTGTTATATCTACGGAGACTGGAGAGACTCTACTATGCCATCCAAACGAAGTAGAACTAATCCTTCTGCATCAAACAAGAAAAGAAAAACTTTATCTTTGGAATGTAAAGTTAACATTGGGTATGTTTGTAAAGTCGAATGAGTTAAGTGAGAATGAAGTTATTGTTGTTCCTATTTCGTTAGACTTTTTGAACAATTTGTTACTAACGCATTTAACTCGTTTGACTTTACTAACGTACCCATTCGATACAAAAATGAAAATTTCTGAATTGGCAAAGAAGTTTGATCTACCAGAATTGTCGGTCAGAACAATTATAAAAGGCAAAGAAAAAATTCTCAAAGCTGTGAAAAATGCTCAATCTTTAAATTCAGGCATCATTCGTAAACGTCACAGTATTATCGCTGAGATGGAAACAATGTTAAAATTATGGCATAATAATTAAGTAAATGTGAAAAATTGTAAAATAATATAGGCCTAATTTGTTATACATATGTATTATCTAAGATTTTATTAAATATTTTTTTCTAAATTATTGTTTTCTTTAGTCTTCGGCCCTAATTAAAAATTATTCGTATGTATTTATATGCGAAATTATACCCCGACTTACGCGAATTCAACTTACGCAGTTACCGCTCGGTCCCACCTATCACGTAAGTTCAGGGTATTACTGTATTACATGTGTGGAGTGTTGAGTTTTGCACACGATAAAGCAGTCAACACTAAGAACAAAAAAATAAAAATTGCACAAAATCGGGAGTACAGCCAGCAAGAGAGTGTTGGTGATATCCACAATAGACGACTCGTGGTGCCCAGTCCAACTTCTTGCGTTTATAGAGATGATGTTTTTGAAATTTCAAACCTGGTCTGTCCTTTCTCTTCTCACTTGATCTATCCGTTCCTTAAGCAGTCCCTTTGTTTCCCTCTCACACCAGAAAAAGACTATTTCGCACTTCTTTTTATGATCCCTTCTCACCTCACACTTTGTGCCCCCTTGTGTACATTTAAATACACAAATAAAAAAGAAACAAAAATATAGAGAGATGTTATACCAACCACAATTATTCACACAGACAGCACATTAATGATAGACATGAAAAAAAGAAAACATCGCATGTAAACATCCACAAACTAAATACATCATGGTGGGTACCACCATACATGGTAAGGTAACTTATCAGTGGATGAAATTTTTAAAGATTAGATTTCACAAAATGCACATTTTTCATTAATAAAAACAGATCTAAAAACCAGTAAAATTGTCATTGATTCCTTTCTATTTTGCCTAACCAATGCATATGGTAAAAACCTTAAAACAAATCCCCCCCGAGAATATAGTCATGTACTGAATCTGATATATGATAACTAATTTATACCAGTACAGTACATGACAACATGTTAACTGGTACAGTAAATATGTATTACTATAATTTAGAAGGACAATCAATACAAACAAAACTACTACTATGAAGAAGTTCTAAGACAATATAAGAGATATATATCTTAATCTTTTACCAAGAGAGAACAATTTTTGGAGTATATAAAATAAATATCATTAAAATGTCTTTTTCATTGGTCACAGTCTTCTTACTTGTTTCAATACAGTTTAATGCAATAACACTAATTTCTTCACCAATAAACTTCTTGCAAAGTGCACATGCAAGTGAATTTTTGCTCGTTTTCTTTTACTGAATCTGACAAATTACTGAATAAACCTTAAAAATTTTACAGATCAATACAGGTAGCCCTTGGTTTATGCTGGCTCAATTTATGCAGATTCACAATAACACCACTGTGCAATTTGCCGTTTCGCGG